AAAAAAAAAAAAAAAAAACGGAACAAGTGGGGATCTAGCTAAAGCAGGCTAAACCAAGAGATAAAATCGTAAATTATATCTTAAGATACGAAATCAACTTCCAATAACTGCCTTCTTTTGTATTTACGACCAACTCTGGTGCCCAAACAAGACAGCAGACTTACCAAATAAGATCGGCTCGAAGGCTGATCGACAAAGCTGCGAGACCGAGCACTACGATTGCCAGCGAATGTTGCCGAGATGGATACGAGTAGGACTGCCCGATAAAACGGCAAATCGAGTAGAACCATCTGTAAAAAAAAGTGAATTTTGAAAAACTACGAACTAAAAAAATTTTCGTCTGCTCCCTAAATCAAATACAAAAGATGAAACGCATGTTCCCTGTGATAAGTTTTAAAAAATTTGACGCTGGTGACTGCTAAACGTCTGGGAAACTACCGATGCGACTGGATGATTCATTCGAACGGCTGCATGAAGTTACATGAATGGGGAAGTTTTAAGACTAAGAAGGATTAAAAAAATGCTAGCTGCCAAGAAAACCTTGAGGATAAAGCAACAGCCATCCAAAGTGCCAAAATATAATGTCTGCATACCCATTCCCTCACTTTTTTTGAAGCAAAATATTGTCAGAATCAAGCCTCATCCGCCAAATTCTTGAACCCGTCAAAGGCAGAGGCACTAAGAACTAGGCCGAATGCTAGCATTCGTCAAATGCAAATCCCCTCAGATAAAACTACCAGTGAGTTCCTTTTGCAAAAATTGTTTAGAAACAAATTAATAATTATAAAACGACACAAAATTCGAAAGCAATTTTTACAGTTGCCATAGAAGAAGCAATCGCAGAGACCAATATATAAAGCAGACTACGTTGCTGTTCTCCGCAATTTCCAACAACATAAACACCTGCAACACAGCGAACCATAATTTCAAGAAAAAAAAAAAGCGTTTTTTGAATAAACCACCAAAAAACCCCTCAAATAACTGGATTAGAATATGAAAGATCACCCACACACACACACAAAAAAAAAAGTTCTAGTCAGGACGTGCACAAATACAAAATTTCTCACCTTGTGTGATACCGGCTGCAACAATCAGGGCTAGCAATGTGCGATACTTGGTACCAAAAAGAAGGACACCGGCGAAAGAGAATAAAAACCCGATGAAACAACCAAATAAAAACTGCGCCAAAAAACGACTCAACGACGTTTTTACTTTACAACTTTTACTTTTCTCGAATCTAAAAAAGAAATATGAGTCGGTGTTAAAGCTAAGCAAAACAAAAATAAATGTCTCCACATCTAAAAAAAAATTTTAAATCTTTTATTTACCGGGCAACTTTAGAAGTATTTGGTAATTTTTTTTCTATAACACTTGAAAATTTGGTGTTTGAATTTGCTAAATTCACAAAACGGTTCTTTTCAAATACATTTTCGTACTTTTTTTGGAACACGCAACAAATTTTGGTTGCTCACTAATCAGAAACAGTACTAGACAAAATCAGCGAAAGTCAACGATTTTCTGAAACAGTCATCAAACATGTGACCTCTGAATCAAAATGTTCGATAAGCAAAATCACATTTATCAAGTACTGCAAATCTGACTTCTGCCAAAACGAACCCTTCTAATTTCCGGTTCTGCTCCGCAACTCGGCCATTCAGAGTAAAAACATCAAAGAATACGCCAAGCAGAAAGAATCCAAATGTCGCGAAATATACGTAAGCTTCGAGAGGTTCATGCAAATACAGGAGATGCAGACCCAGTGGCCCACCGAACATCAGCAATAAACGAGCTCGAAGCGCATCCATTCCCGCACCACTTTCTTCCTTCGCTGTCAACTGCTATGTCGCTATATCTTCTCCTAAAAGAGCAGCTTTTTCCGGAAAAATCTTTCAGAGATCAAAAGAAAAAAGTCAAATACCGAAACAGTTATATGCTGTTGAGAAAACAGTCAAGTACAAGGCGCGCTATGCACTACTGAGACTGGAAACGTCTTCAGATATACAGAAGACAAATAAGGCATAAAAAAGAAATACAAAAAATTAGGAAATATTACCACGACTACTAAGACCAATAGGTTTCAACAGCGATTCCAGCATTTCTAGTATAAATAATTTCAATAATTATACACAATTCATTTCGGTACGGATTTCTTATGTAAAAAAATGTGTACGCTTCAAATACATAGAAAACAAATAATAAATAAAAAATAAATACAAAAAATTAGGAAATACTGCCAAGACTACTAAGACCACCAACAGATTGTATAGACGTTCCCGGTATTTCTAGCAAAAATAATTTCAGTAATTATACACAATTCACTTCTATACGGATTTCTAATATAAAAAATTTTGGACGAAAAAATAATTTATACAAAAAATGAACTAGCAATGTTACATCCATTCCCAGCAGATTCGTTACTTTAGTGGTACTTCAGGATGTCCAAGTGATAAATTTGTGGGTAAAAAAACCTTGGAACGACTGTCGAAACAGCGAACTACATGCAAAAAAAAGCTTACTGTAAGCCAGTGTACACAAGAAAAAGCGATCTGGCTTAGAATTTCCATTACGAAATTTCACGCAGAAACAAAAGTGAGACTTTACAACAATGAGCTTTTGCACGGAAAAAGTACAAACCTGCAAATATAGTCCAGGCGTGCCCGAAGAAACAACAGAAATTCGCCTTCTGCTGCAATACGCGATAAAAAAGCTTCAATCATTTCGCATACGATTGGATGTCTCCGTCTCATCAAAACATTTTGCCAGTTGAAAAATACAAAATTCACCCGTATTCATGCCTGAAAACTTTTTTGGCTTAATTCGTTACAAATCCACAGCAGCTCAGTTAAATGAAAAACCCAGTACCGGGTCACAGTGAAGGAAATTTCTTCAAATTTCTTCAAGTGAAGTGACCATACAAGCGGAGATGGATGCTAGCTTTTGCTGAAATACATACTTTTTTGAAATAGTACATACAATATCACTTTACGCTTTGTTAAATGCTTTGGTCTGGAGAACCAATAAACTAGCAAAATCTTCAGGAGATGAAACGAACGTCAAAATAACTAGCCGGCCGTAACAGGCTATCCAGACTACCCACCGATCAAAAAACTAGTTAAGTTGCTAACTCGAGAACCAGACAGCTGCAAGTATTATGAGATAAGCAGATACAGTACGGTGATCGGTAACACCGCAATGAAATACATATCTGATAAAAATTCACCCGAACCAAATTTTTTATTCGCATATATTCCAGCAAAAAGAGGCAAAAATATCTGTATATTAATAATCATAAAACTTTTTTTTAAAAGAAAAACCAGTGTTAAAAATAATACTATGCATTTATGAAGCCACAATTCCCAGCACCTTAAGGACCCGACGTTTCTTCGATGCTGGCATTAAATCTTCAAAAAGGTTATTCGTTAGGTTCCAAACTCAAAATTTGCCTGCCACTTCTTGCAAATTCGAACAATTCAATGGCACCAAGCAGAGTGTCCATGCGATTTTTGTGAAAATCCTCAAAGCGCATTTTTCCCTTTAGCTTCGAGGAATTTTGGCCGGAAAAAACTAATTATTCACAAAAAAAAAAAAAAAACATAGAAACACACACATAAAAAAAAGGATTCACAATTAATGTGGAAATCATGGCGATTTTGAGAGGAAAAAGAAGCAACAACAAGAAATCAGACAAGAAAATCCAACAGAATAAACATACACACAAATCTATACTGCTGTTCAGCTCTTC